GAAAATAATATTTTTGTATTTTGATAATGATATTGATAATAAAGTTTGCAGTAATAATTTTTAAAGTAGTAATGATAACACTGATAATAATAATAATGATAATAATTTTAAGCAATAATGATAATAATAATAGTGCTAATTATTATGCCATCAATGATAATAAACACATTTTTTAAAATGATAATAATAATAATGATAACAATGGTGATAATATTAATATCAGTGATAGTTATTGCATTATTTCTAATATCAAGAAAGATGATATAAAGAAATAATAACCGCGGTAATGATAATAATGATGATAATAAGAACATTAGCGATAACAACAATAATAATAGTAATAACGACCATGAAAATAATGATAATAATAATAATGACAATAATAATAATAATAATAGTAATGAAAATAATGACAACAACAATAATAATAATAGTGATATGAATCATAACAGTGATGATAGTAAATACTGAGAGTAATACTGAGAGTAAGAATAATGGTAAATTTAACTGTAATGATACTGAAACTGCAATAATAAGCCCTGCAATAATAATACGCCACCTATGCTTCTCTATGATCCCTCTGTCTCTCTCTCCGTCCACATACATGTCTCATCCCTGACGTCATGGCACCATTCTGTTTGCACAGACTCGCCGGGCACAGCGGCGACGGCAGGGTCCGCCCGACGGCGAGGCGGGGGGGCGGCCGCGGGCGAACTCAGCCAAGGACTGCTGAGAGCCTTCTGGGCGGCGGTGTCGGTGAGCAGATTCCGCCGCCTGCTTGGTGCTAGCTTACAGGTGCCCGTGTTGCGGGAGTGCGGGGCTTTATTAGGAGTAAGCTTGTTGCCTCGATTTGTCTTTCACGTTTGATCACCTGTCCGCTGGGTTGGCTGCAGCTCCGGAAGGCTCGGGGGACGAGCTCGACGGCGCCGTGCACTCAGGCCCACGGTTCCTCGGAGATCCATAGAGAGCGTGGGCGTGGGCGGTGTCCTAAGGCTGCAGACGCCATTTGAAGTCCAGGTTGATGCCACCGGTGGAGGCAGCGAGCAGAGCCATCGCCGTGGCCTCCTCCCGGCAATGCCCGAGGCGGCGCCGCGGCTGCGCGGCCTCTCCTCAGCAACTCTACGCGGGCGTCCGAAGCAGTCTGCGAAACAGAGTGAAAGCAGGGAAACAGTCAGCACGGCGCAGGCACCTTGGACTCGACACAGAAGAACAACGACGGCCGACTAGGATTTGATGAGGAAGAGGGAAGAGAGGAAGAAGGGAGGAGAGGAAGAGGGAGGGAGTGGAAGGAGAGAGAGGGCGAGGGAGGGAGAGGAAGAAGGGGAGATGGAAAGCGGGAGGGAGAGAGGGGTAGAGGGAGGCAGAGGAAGAGGAAAGAAAGGAAAATGGAGAGAGGAAGGAAGAGCGAGAGACACGAAAACGGAAAGAGAGGAAAAGGGAGAGAGTATGGAAGAGGGAGAGAGAGTAAGAAAAGAAGGAGAAGACAAAAGAAGAGGGAAAAATGAAAAGAGGAAGGGAGAGGAAAGGGAAAGAGAATAAGAGGAACAAAAAGAAAGAGGAAGACGGAAAGAGAGGAAGATGTAAAGAAATAAAGATAGGAAGAGAGAGAAAGAGAGAGAAATAGGAACCGGGATAAAGAGGGCGAGGGGAAGAGAGAAAGAAGGAGAAAAAATAAGAGGAAGGTAGATAAAGAGGGACAGAGAGGGAGAGATAAAGAGAGAGAGAGAGAGTGAGTGAGCCATTTTCAATCATCACACCTAATTTACAACAAAATGAAGCAGCTTGAACTCTGTCACTTGGCATAGTACCCTGGCATTTGATTTGGGCGTAACGCGCTTCAAGTCCTCATTCCCATGAAATATGTTTTTTGGATTGAGATTGCCAGCGGAGCTTGTGAACGGACGGACACTGATAATGGCGATTTTCGTCCCACTCAACTACCTTTTGTTTTGGTCAGTTTGCACCTGCTCAGAGTGCTTCTCTTTTCAAAGGGACTTTTCTTGTCTACTTTTCTAATCCCTTTCTCTCCCTCTTTGTCTTTCATGTGTATTCGTGTACTTGTTCTTTGTTTATATGTTGATTATTTTGTTGTTTTGAGGCATTTAGAAAGGTTTATCGTTTTTTATTCATAATTGTTCGTGTCAGCCTCTCATTCCTCTTGCGTGATACCGCGGACGTGCGCTGGGCCGTACGAGCCAGTGCTGTGACACGTGCATCTTTTATATATTACCTTCACAGCTCCATTCGGTGCCTGTCACGTGCCCTGGACCGTGCGAGACTTCTATGACACGTGCATCATGTGTATATTATCTACAGGGTACAGCTCCTTTCGGTGTCTGCCCCGTTCCCTGGACCGTTGATGGCAAGTGCTTCACGTACAATTTTGATGCGTGCATGATGTCCGCATCCATGTACTAAGTTATAAGTATATCTACAATGATGTATATATGTGTGAACTTTTTTATTTGTTCATTTGTCTGTGATTTATATTTTTTCTCGATTTTTTTACCTGTGTGCGATACGTGTGTTTTTCTCCGGTGACAGCTTCTGCGCTTTTCTGCTTTCCTAGGAGGTGAAGTCGTGAGGATCCGCGCCAAGGGGCATCTGGTATATCCGGCCCTGATTCAAGATGGGTGATGCAGAGGACTTGGGTTCAGAGTCTTCTATAAAGAGCTTAGAAGGATCATGCCGAGCAAAGAAGGCGACGGCCACACAGGTTGTACATCTCATGCAGCCTGTACTTCGGAGCGTGTCTTTGCCGCGTGAGAGTGCGGCACATGCGCGCACGTCTGCAGATTGTGTTTGGTCCACCCAGATCGACTTCGTCAGAATAAAAATTGATGAAGAAGGGTATAGCAAAATCGTGCTTTACCGGGCAAGGCAGTTTTTATTCGCGGCCTCATGGTTGGTTGAGGAACTCCCAAACTTCAGTAGCCTTCCAGAAGTGAAAAGGGAAGGCAATTTCGCGTCGCCCGTCCCATATTTCACTGCCTCATTCTCCTTCTCCTCATATGCTGATAAGTAAATCAAATGTGTGTAATTTACAGATGAATACTTAGGCAATAGGTGTATCTCAAGATTTTTTGTATATTGTTGGTAAATTTGTAAAAGTCCACTCTCTCTCTCTCTCTCTCTCTCTCTCTCTCTCTCTCTCTCTCTCTCTCCTCTCTCTCTCTCTCTCTCTCTCTCTCTCTCTCTCTCTCTCTCTCTCTCTCTCTCTCTCTCTCTCTCTCTCTCTCTCTCTCTCTCTCTCTCTCTCTCTCTCTCTCTCTCTCTCTTCTCTCTCTCTCTCTCTCTCTCTCTCTCTCTCTCTCTCTCTCTCTCTCTCTCTCTCTCTCTCTCTCTCTCTCTCTTCTCTCTCTCTCTCTCTCTCTCTCTCTCTCTCTCTCTCTCTCTCTCTCTCTCTCTCTCTCTTGTATAAAGCTATGATTAAAGGAAACTTGTATTTCCATTTCTATGTCCTTAATTATCAATTGCTTCTTTCTTCAACCCTGCTTTTCCCCACGGAAAAGAAATTCCAGAAAGTAGCCCCATTTCCCCCCGGGCCTTCTTGGGGCCTTCTTCGTTCGCGCCTTCGCCTCGGGCCTTAGGTCTTCACAGAGAGCAGGTCAGTCACGTGGCCTTCTCTCGCCGCTTCCAGGGAGGATTTATCTTCCGTCTTTCTCGCTCCTTTCCCTCCCTTCGTTGCAAAGGAAGAGAGACAGGATCACACTCTGTCTCCGGCGTCCATCCCAGCCTGGAGAGTCTCGCCGATATCTTCCTGCGCTTGAGGAGCTCGATGTCCAGCGCCTGTGGATTCGGCCAGGGTCGTTCAAGGTCCGATCTAGAGCTCCTGTTGCATCCATATCCCGTTGAGTTGTTGATCTAGCAGGTCCGGGCAACTGTGCTCCCCTCGGGTGCGAAAGCGAACTTTTCGTGTGAATAAGGTCCGGGGGGCGATCAGTGAGCTTCATGACAAATCTCTTCTTTTTAATGCGAGTGACATCCGGTGTGAGGCCATGACTGTTCCCCTCTTTAGGTGTTGCTTAATTGTTTCTTAATTGTTAATCTCCATCTTCACACAAGTCAAGCGGATGTTATTACCAAAGAAGATTCTTTTAATGTTAAAATACCCTATTATTTCCAAGCATCATATATATTAATACGTTTTTTCAGTGAAACATGATAATAAAGGTATTAACTACTTCCTCCTTGTCTCCTTCATCCGGTTCCTCCTCTGTTCAAGCTGGCCTCTGGGCCGGGCGAGAGGGGCGAAAATCCTTCAATGAAGGATTAAAAATGTTCCTTTTCGTCCCACTCACCGCCCTTCCTTTCGCCCCCCCCCCCTTCCCTCTCTCCTTCGCAGTCAGGCAGGGAGACCTGGCATGGCAGGGCACGCGGCCGGTGGGTACGTTGGGAGGGGGGGGGGGGGACTTGCTTAGTACTGGAACACGCGAGATTTTCAATGTTGTTTTCGGCTTCCTGGCTGCCCAGCCGTCGCTTGCAACGATGTCTTTTATAGTCCGAGGATTGAACTCCTCTGGGGGCGCCTTGGGCTGCCACCTATTGGCCACATTTTCAATCCTCCAAATGAAGGACTATTAGTATTATATGCTTTACATCAATATCATTGTCTGCCGTTTATCATCATTATTATCATATTTCTCCCTGTTATATTTTACCTTTCCTGTTGCAACTGTTAGTAGTAGTATTAATTTTTTCATCGCAAATATTGCAACTGAATTTATTCATGTTTTGGTAATAATCTCATTTATTTAATTTCTGAATTATATTTACTTGAATTCTGCTAAATGTATTACTTCTGTGCACAGAATACTCACGCCCGTCACGACGAAATGCCTCGTCTTGACTTACTTACCACCAATCTATTTATAGGGTTCATCAGGCGCCGAAACTGAAGGGTCCGGTCTTGAATCGTCTGGCCACGGCTTCGGCTCCACAGAATGGCTTGGCTCCGGCTCCGGCAACACATTCGGAGAAGATACGAAGGAGGAGGAGAAAGGTGAGCAAAGGGGGGGGGGGGGATGAGAGGGAGGGAAAGAGAGAGCGAGAGTGAGAAAGAGCGCGAGGGAAAGAGAGGGGGAGAGAACCCGTGTAAGGATATTCATGGAAAGCGGGAAATAGAAAGACGGAAGATACGAAAAGGAGAAACAGAGAACGGAAGCTAGGTATGGGAGAAAGAGAAACAAGAGAAGAAAGAGAGGAGCACAGAGGTAGATGATGGGAAAGGGAGAAAGAGAGAGGTAGGTGTTAGGAGAGGGAAGAGCAAAAACTAGGAAGGGAGAAAGGAAATTACAGAAGCTAAGATTGGGCGGAATAAAAAAACAGAAACTTGGAAAGGCAGAAGTGACGGAAAAAAGCTAAGAAAGGTAGGATTAGGGAGACTGAAGCTAGGGAAGGGAGACACAGTGACTAGAAAAGGGAGGAAGGGAGCTACGAAAGGGAGGGTCAGATAGACAGACGCTAGGAAAGTGAAGAAGAGAAAGGCAAAAGCCAGGGAAGGGAGAAAGGGAGAGGCAAATGCTAGGAAAGGAAGGAATTGAGAGACAAGATAGGAAAGAGAAGGGTAGAGAGACATAAGACAGGAAAGGGAAAAAGAGAAAGACAAAGAAAGATAAGAAAGGGGGGGGGGACAGCCCGACAGAAGTCAGGGAAAGGAAGAAGAGACACAGAGTGTGTGAGAGTGAGAAAGGAAAAGCGAGTGGAAGAGAGCCAGACAGAGAGAGCGAGAGTGTGTTAAAGGACAAGAGATCGCAAAACAGAGTGAGGGAGGTGAGAAAGGGAGAAAGACGTCAGAGGAAGAAAAAAAAACAGACCATTATCATCAATTCGTATAGTGATACAACTCCAGATCGAAACACCTAAATAT